CGCTAGTCTCTGCACTACTGCCCAGTCACTCTCCTGCTCCAGTGCATGCTGCTGCTTTGCACCTTGCCACTGCTCCGCCCCAGCGATCAGTTCAGAAAGCCGCTTCTGGTTCCGCATACAGAAGAGCTGGCAGGCGTGCGAACCGTACTCCTGCACGTAAGCTAGCACTGCACTTGGAGTCAGCAGCTGTTTCTCCAGAACCAGAGCCGTGAAGTCCAAGAGGTTGAACTTGGGGACTCGTGCTTTCTTGCCACTGGAAGCCTCGGCACCAGCAGCAGCAGCCTCGGCCTGTTGGCGGCGCTTGGTCCACATGGTGGCACTCCAAGGCTCTTGGGATTCCTCGTAGAGGTTAAGGACAACTGCATCCCTACCAGGAACAACAAACTCTTGGCACGGACGGTCTCCAACCTGGATTGCCTCCAAACTTCCGAGACTCTTCAGCCACGCTACTGGTTGGAGGTCAACAACAGGCTTCCGCTCCGTTGTGAAAACACCATAGCGCAAGGCACTCCACCACTGCTTGTGCGTTGTGCTCCAATGCGAGGCCAAACCGGACCGCTGCCGCAGCGAAAGTTTGAGTGGCATGAACCGCGTTGGAGTGTTCAGCTTGAGAGCAGCCTGGAAGTGCTTTGGCTCCTCCAGAAACACAACGAGCTTCACGACCTCCAAAACCTTGCTCCGAGGCCGCCCACCTCGAGGGGTCGCCTCCGGCACAGGATGCGCGACTGCGTCCAACAAGGCATCCCGAACTTGGAGGCGGGAGAGGTCTGCCAAGTCTTTCAGAGGAGTTTCGGCTTGCAGAGCAGTCTCGCTCAGAACAGCAGCAAACGTCACCAGGAAGACCATGCTGCGGGCAGCAGCGTCCTCCTGGGTCAGCCAGTCGGGCTGGGCCACAGCAGCTGGACAGTCATCGTCGCCGGAGGACGAGGAGCTGGAGCTCGGCATGGCGAGCGCTGGCGCAAGCCTGCTTGCTGGTTGTTGAGCCCAACTTTCAGCACAGTCACTATAGCAG